ACGTACTATACGTACGTACGTACGTAGTTAGTTAGTTATTATTAGTATATATATATATATATATATATATATATATATATATATATATATATATAGGTAGGGATCTCACGCAACGATTGTGTCATAGTATAATGAAACAATCTTCAAAAATCATGTTAAGACCATTTGTTTGATCCAAATTTTAAAATATACACTCTTTTCATTCTAATGAACAATCTCAAAAAAGAAAATTTTGAAAACACAACCTAGAAAATATTTTTTTAGCCCAATTAACATAGGCCGTCCACTTTGATAAGATGCTTAGATCTAGGCCTTAGAAGGATTTTTTCTTTTCCAATTTTTTTAAATGGCTTTATTATCATTAGAAAAATAGTGTTAAAGATGAAAAAAATGATTTTGAGTATGTAAAGGCTAAGATCTTGAAATTCACCAAATGAATTGTCTAGATTCGTTGTTGGAGGGGAACTCATTTTGACCATATCTAGGGTTCAAATCGAACTTTTTTTTTTTTGGGATTCAATATTGAGATGAAGAGTGTGTGTGCAAAATTTTGGTTCATACAAATACCACAAACATGGTTTTTAAGAAGTGTGGTTGCATGATACAATTGTTGCATGAAATCACTGCCATATATATATATATATATATATATAAATATCATGACTTTTGTTATTACTGAAGATATAGCCCTTGATAGAAAGAAATGGAAGAATAGGATTCATGTAGCCGACCCCAAATAATTTGGATAAGGCTTGGATGATGATGATGATGATGATCAATCCAGCGACTCTTTCCTCAACCATTCCAATAGACTCATGCTTTATGTTCTTGAACTTCCAAACTAGTGAAAGGGTTCTAGGACAATAAAGAACAGATAAAAATACTATGATCCAAGCCAAAATGGACTTAGGGTTATCTGCTCCTCAGGGAAGAGGTAATAGACTTACCAAGGAGTCAGTCTCCATACAAATATCTCTACATGATTCCTAGACATAATATAACTCTAAAACAAGTACTTGGAAACAATTCAACACTCCACCACCCAACTGACTTGAACTAACTCCAATCGACCCTGCCTCCACTCCTTGTTATCAACTCTTCCATGGTAAGAACAAATATACAGTTGTCTACTGATTGGGCTACTGGTGAACCACATCAGAATGAAAGTTTCACCCCCAAACTGCAATATCAGTTCCATCCGAAGTGCCACACCTAGGACTTCAACCAAACTACATTTTACAGGTCCTAATAAATGACCAAATGTGTATGTAGTGATACTAAATAGGAAGGCAGCCTCCTGCCTAGCTTATCAAATAACAAAATGCCTAAATTACCCATTTCTGAATTTACCATAATTCTTCATCCGCTTCAATTTTTCATAGCCTTGCATATTTCCAACTTGATTGCAAATATAAGCAATCAGATCATAGAAGACATATATAAATCCTTCAGGCTAATCGACAATACAAAACTATGCAGGGGCCATCATTCTGCCTCTAATAGAAATACAAAGACGATTTTTTGACGAACAAATGCAGATGCCTGGTGATTTCTAATAATACTCAACATCACTGATGGGTAATTTGTTGTATGTAGGAAGAAAAAGCAAAAGCTATAATCAGTACTGCACATGCAACTATTATTTAGAAGCATAGGTTATTACTGATACTTGAGATAATTAAAAGCACATTCAAGTTGTTCTAAGGAATTGGGCAAAGGCATGAAAAACATGTGGGCATAAGTAATGAGTACAAACACCACATCTAGGTAGATAGGATATTTACACTATAATTTGAGAGATCCTTTGAATGGTCATCGCTGCTAAAATAATTTCCATGAGCGAAATAGTAATGCATTAAGAGAGTGCTTGGAGTTAACCAAGGTCTAAAACTCAGATGAGTCGACTATGGACTTGAATCAGGACCTCACCAAGTCTTGCAGGGACATATTAAAACTGGCTTCAGTTCCATTCTTTTATTAGTGTTTTTTGAAAAATACTTGCAGAGTCTATTTGAAACTTCAAATACTTGCAGAGTCTACTTAGTATTGAATCGACTTGGATTGGGACACTATGAAGTCCAACCCAAATCTATATTTTTTAGCATATAAAAACCTTTAGTCTAACAAAAAGAAAAAAATGAAAAAATAAAATAACAATAATAATGACAACAATAAAGAGAAGGGCATCATAAATGATATGCTGGAGTTTCTGGAATCTTTTAACAATTGACATGAATCTCCAGCACTTGAGAACTAATTGCTCGTGATTCATTTACTCCATTGAGTATAATAGAAAACAAAGATCATTTCCCAATAGGACTAAGGGATATAAACTTTATACCCTCCCAAAATTTTATATGATGATTATTTCCACATAACCATGGGGATAAAATTCAGTGAACAATACTTCTGTCTGCAGGTGCTCCAGCAGTGTCACCATGGAAGATCTTGTTGGAAACCCCAATTATAATAAAATAAGGGAATGAGGGAGAGTGTAATGCAAGCTCCTTCTAGTGGGGACTTTATTTCCCGTTATAAAGGAAGATGTGCCTGAGGTCCAAGATTTCTTGGGGATTTAAATTTCGAAACTCACCCTTGTCCAGTCATCCTCTCAAAAAAACAATATATATAAAAAAAAGCTTCTATACGTAAGTAACAATTTTAAGTTTTTAATTACCATTTGAAGTGTGATGAGAAAGAAGAATAAGATATTTTCCTTATTAGGGCCAAGGCCAGGATTATATATACACTATCGTATTTGCTGGTAAATGAACCAAGGAAATATCTTAAGCAAACAGAAGTAAATCTGTGAACCACATCCATAACATAAAATTTGATTGAGTACAGACCTCACTCAGCTTTGATCTCAGATTCTCGATATCCTCAGTAACCTGTCAATAAGCATAAAAACAATAAGTAATAGATACAGAAGTAAATCTGTGAACCACATCCATAACATAAAATTTGATTGAGTACAGACCTCACTCAGCTTTGATCTCAGATTCTCGATATCCTCAGTAACCTGTCAATAAGCATAAAAACAATAAGTAATAGATATCATAAAACCAAATATGATTGAGGAACATATGGAGGTATCCAAACATTCAATCAAGTTTTCAAGTTACTTACAAGCCTGCATGGACTTGTACATAATAGATAACAGTTCTATATTTCAGTGAATGACTCATATTAGAAAGAATAACCGACCCCAAATAAATTGGGATAAGGCTTGGATGATAATGATGATGGACATTAGAAAGAATACAGTATCTTACAACTTGAGGCGGAGGAAGGTTTTCAGTTTGATCCAATGGTTGCTCTTTTGCTTTTAAAGTTTCATAAGCTGGCTCTGTTTCATAAGCCGGTTCTGATGACCTCAAGGCTGCATTGATTGGTTGCAACACGGGAGAGTTGGGGGGGCTGATAAGGACCACTTTCAACTTGTATTCTTCAAATTTTCTGCTATTTTCTTGTGAAAACTGTGAAAGAAAGATATACATAAGAAACTAAGAAAGCGAAACTAAAGAAAAGGTGCAACTCGAAACACTAATAAGGATCACTATCAACTCATTTCTTCAATTTTTCTGTGATTTTCTCGGGAAAACTGTGAAGGCATGAAAGACCTAGAAAATTGAGCAAATGGAACTAAAGAAACTCATTAATTCAATTTTCTGTGATTTTCTCGGGAAAACTGTGAAGCATGAAAGACCTATAAAATTGAGCAAATGGAACTAAAGAAAAAGGTGACTCAAATCACTAACCAAGCCAGATGGGAGGTCTTCTACGGTAGTCCCAAACGGAACAACAGTACTCTGAACTAAGAACTTATCCTTGCACTGCATGCCTAGTGGTACTTCATGAGGAGCTTGCATTGTGACTACATCATTGTAAGCCAAATGTTAACTATCAAGAAGAACATTTTCTTGTCATAGTTGACTTCCAAACAAATAAAAAACAACAAATGCGAAAGTAAAAGATTGATAGTAGGAATTATCATATCCTTTTATTTTCAAAACATCACCATGCATTCTCAGCAAGTTTCAGGAATGCTTAATACTTGAGATATAGCCTCAGTTTTGGCTCCTCACCAAAATTGAGATGGAGATTACAACCCACATCTTTGAGTTATAACACCATCATTGAGCCAAAATACAGATAATAATTTCCAGTAAATATTTAAAACAAGGGAAATTTATCAAATTATGCGTGAGAGATGAACAATTTAACACCTTGCCCAAATCTTTTGATTTAATGTCAAAATACCCATAGACAGTCACACAATCTTGAGTTAGAATACTTGTAAATCCATTGAATGTTAAATTATTCATCTCCTATGGGTATTTCAATAAATTTCATTTAACATAATTTGTTTACTTAAATCTTTAAAGGGTGTGGTTTGCTTAGAGCCTAGGCTCTAAACAATCAAATTAGAGCCTACTTTCAAATAGTATCGAGAAATGTGGTTTCAATACTGGAAATCTTTGTGGTAGCCTTAAAATATAAAGCTTGAAAAATAGTGTGGATCGACATATCTATGAAAACTTGAAAATCTTGAAAATTGACGGTCCAAAAATGCGTTACAAAATACATTATTTCCAAATCTTGAAATCTATTGTTTTTCTTATGTCCATGCATTTTGATGTCGAGATGAAATTTGAGAATATTTAGGCATTAAAACAACCTCTTCTAGTGAAAGTTTTGAGGCAGGCTCTAATTTGAGGGTTTAGAGCCTCAGCTCTATATAAACTTTTCCCATTTTTAAATCATCAAAAAGATCAAAATCAGCCACAATTCTATATTCCAGCTTCATTTCTATTTGTGGCCATAAACCTTATTTTCCAAAACATTTTAGGTAAAAATTCAGCTCAAATTCCAGAATTTCTTACAATATGTACACCATGGCTCCATGCATAGCAAAAGATAATGAGCCCAAATGGGAATATTACGTACAACTAGCCAGCTACATGGACCAGAAAGCCAGCTCACAGCACCACGTTAAATGTCAGATGGAAAACAAATTGTCATTTAAAACCATAGAAGGTGTAGGAGGATAGTATAAAATAAAAAAAATGAGTAAAATAAAAGCTCAAGATTTTCGGGTTGTATCTAAACTTAATGAAGCGCATTGTAATTAGTACAACATTTTTCATATCATCCCATGGGAGGAATCACAATTACCTGTAAAGTCACAAGTTGCATATGGCAAGATAACTCCAATGTTTGGACGCACAGTGTATTTCTTGGGAGAGGTTGTCTTAACCTGCCAAAAGCAAATTGTTTAAATTTTTCTTCTGTTTTTTTCTTCTTTATGAATGGTGATGTCTGGAGTTTATCCTTCAAGAGATCGTTAAAACGTCAAACAGTGTGATTCTTTTTCAGAAGGAATTATTAAGGAGAAAATACAGATAAAAGGAATTAGAGTATATTAAAATTCCGAAAATGCATTACATTCCTAAAATGCATTATATACTATCAAACTAGCACTACTTTAACATTAAATGGGATGCCAAAGGGATGTCCATGTTTACAGTCACATTATGAATACCATTAAAACTCATCCAAGTCAGGGACAAAGTAAGGAAGTTAGATAGAAAGAATCCATGTTCAATAAAAAGTATCACCTTGAAAGCAACATATTGGTCCGAGTGGTTGACAAGCTGAACAGAGCATGAGCTTTTCTTTTTAAGTTCAACTGCCAAATTGAAATTCAAATTCTGTTAGACTTACATTCAAATAGAGATATTCGCGCATGAAGCATCTTAAATGATTGAAAGTTTGAAACAAGGAACACGATAAAAAATGATAAGATTGAAGGCAGCAAATCTTGCATAACAATAAAAAGAGAACAAAGATGCCATTAAGCAGTATAGTTTTGCTAAATTGCAATTACTTAGGTTGTGGAATAATCGTAATTGTAAGTGTCACAATTGGTACTCTTACCACAACACAGTACATAGATGTCCAAATGTATAGGACCATTGACCAGCCTCTTTGTAAGGATATTCCTGCTCAGTATGCCTAACCCTTGTACTCGGATAAATATGTGTCGTAAACACCAGCTTCTTACACATTACCAAAACAGTATTTCCACTAAAAATGTGTACCAAACCAAAATATATTCATAAAAATACACAACCTTTTTCCAATTTTTTGCACCTTTCCGCAAAAGTGATTAAAAAAACCGTCAGAACATTATCCATTGGACCAGTTTCTTTACCATCAATCAATCCAATTACTGGAAGACCATAACACATTCAGGCTAAAAAATGAAGCAGTGATTGGAAACTTGGTGAGTCGGGCTTGGACTCACCCCAGCCACTCAATCCCAGTGGAGTCCCAGCTCCAGGTCCGAAACGTCGAGGCTAAAGCCAAGTCCAACTGGGTAGTGGACACTACTTTGTTATTCTTTCCGGAGTCACTTTGTTATTCTTTCCAGAGAGTCCACCGAGTCGGACAGTGATTTGGGATACAGCCCTACACGGTTCGTGGCCCGAGCCCAAGACCGAGTTTTCAATCACAGATATAAAGTACTTCACCTATTTTGTGGAACAGTGAAAATCCAATCCAAAAAAGTACCAATTATAATCTCAGAAGTAAAGACCACACTACGAACCCTTCCATACATGCCCTAAAGAGACCATAAAAACAGTCCAGAAACAAGATGAAAGCCTGAAACTAAGAAGCAATGACTATTTTAAACTATAATATCCAGCATCTCTAGAAATACTGGTTGATCATGATGTTGATCACCACAATGAAAGACTTGCACAACTACCAGAAGGATATACTTTAGTTCACAGTAAAACGAATTATTTCACCATAGATACTTAACCACTCGATGGAATACCAGAACTCATCTCTTCCAAAAGTAACAATTACAATTTTAATAATCAAGAACCCTCAATAACCCCCTGATCATAAATGTCCATTAAACAAAATGCAAATGTCCAGAAACAATACAACGCAAGATAATAACTTGAAAACAAGTAAAACACATAAAAAAAAAAAGACTGTAAGTAAGAAGCAATCAGTATTTCAAACTGTATTATCTAGTATCTCATGGAATCGTGGTTGATCATGGCCTCAAAAGACTTACAGGTGAACTTCAGCTCGCGGGGTTGGATACCTACAAGCTCCCCGCTCATGTTTCTCTCACTAGAATTACGTTTCTCTCACTAGAAATTCGCAGTAGCTGAAATAATCTGCAATCACAAAGCTATGCAACCTTCAATTATCCGAAAAAGGGCAGCATTCTATAACCAAAGGGAGGAATCAACCCAAAAAAGGGAAAGCATCCGAAGGGGAAATTTAACCAGAACACCCGTTGACCAAAAATGTCCCAATCTTTTATTCAAATAACCATAGTTACCATGAGCATGCATGTGCAAAAACAATTTAAAGAAACTAATTCCGCTATGCAATAGCGTTTACCCATCTTTCTTGTGGCAGTGGAGCATTATGAAGTGCACATATCGAAGGATTTGACAGGCGTCAGAGATAAGGATTTGATAAGCAGTTGATAAGGGTAATTTTTTCTTCAAGAAGTTTCATTGAACCGACAGTATATATTTACTGTCACTTGAGAAACTAAAATTACAGTTGAAATTTTTGTGTAAAATAACAACAGATGCCCTCTCTCTCTCTCTCTGTTTCTTTTTTTTTTTTTTTTAGGGTTGAACAACAAATTGCTATTCACTGGTTTTTATATGAAAAGTTATACCTTTATATAACATATATATGTTTGACACCTTATATGGACTTTTTTCCTGAGGTTTTTACCGTAGTATGAAGAGCTTTTTCATGCATTTAGGTTATTCGGACTTACACGTGTCCTTTTTTCCTGAGCAATCTTAAGGAAAATTAGATTAAATCCAAAAACTTATTTCAAAAATAAATTTTTAAGAGGTGACTCACTTCTACATGGACTCATATAATTATAAACCGTGTGATTTATAAATTTTCCAAATAAGAAATAAAAATAAAATAAAATGACATGAATTATTTACATTGTCAGAAATTAAGAACCATCAGTTGCAGTCGGAAGTTAACTGTCCATAAATTTCACCCATGCCCACAAGAAAAGCGGAAGAAAACAGTTCGCTACCAATTTCCCAATATTTTGCATTTGGCCTTTTTTTTTTTTTCCTCCATTAATATTTTTAAAAAAAATCGTCACTTTTTGTTGAACTTAGAGGAGTGGATGCCCAAAATCCTTCACCTAGCAGTAAGATGGGTAATCCACGATCCTTATATACGCAGATGAAAACATGCCCTCTAGGTCTAGAAATTCTTTCTGGGATTTAAAAATAAATAAAATGGGGCTAAAATAATCAAATATATCATTCCAAGAGATGCTGGTATTTCACTATGAGTTCAAAGGTTTAAGAACAAATTTGAGTTCTATATCATCTTTGCGTCTATGAATTCCCTAAAACTCGAAATTAGACATTTGCTACAGTCCTGTACTTTTTTAAGATGATTCTTTTTTGAAAAAAATCAGCAAAAAATTATTTCATGGGCTTCAGAATAAATGGTAATTAACAAAGCATTCAAAACTGAAACTTAGAATGAGGAAGATGGGCAAATTCTAGGAGAGAAACAGATTAAACAGAGAGGAATACTACAAAAGTTTTTGACTCCATGGATCACCCCCAAAATTTGCAGAAAATAAAAGAATTGGAAACCTGGAGATTTACCAAATAACATTTAAAAATCACACAAGCTATGAAAAATAAAAAATAAAAAAAATTAAAGGGGAAAACAAATATATAATGAATTACTGGTCATGATGAAACTTGAGGACATACCTCTACAATAGCAGAAACTAGTGGAGCAAAGCCTTAACCCTAACCGGAAATAGAACTGAGATCTCGAAGACTTCAATTGAAAATACTCTAAACCTAATCAGAAAAAAAAAGGAGGATGCGTGTGAAAATAATGGAGAAGGTGGGCAGAGGGTAAGCAGTTGCACCAGCCACGTTCAGGCGGGCTTTTATGAGCAGTTGGTGGAGCCAAAATATTTTTCAACGTTTAAAAATGAAAAATGACCAACAAACCCCTAGTAACTTCTATTAATATCTGTAATGAACCTTGCCTCATATTTATGAAAAAGTTTCTATGCCTCTCCTAATCTATGGTGACGAAAAGTTTCTATGCTTCTTCTCATATATGGCGATGAAAAGTGTTTTACGAATGGAAAGAGGAGAGAGAAAGTCGAAGCCTTACATCCACGGATCTAATCGAAGCTTTACATCCACGGATTAAAGCCTAATTGGCTACATCTTCATTATTTTTTATGAATTATAGTATAATAACTTGATCCTTATTTTCTAAATACCTAATTTTATTAATAGATATATACATGTACATCTATAATGATCATAATAATGTATATCAATAACCCGAGATATCCATGTACTTTTTAAATTATGGATGTATATCAATATGAATCCTAGATATCCATATCCCAGCATTTTAAAACTCAGTGATTTCTAATTGAGATAGCCGCTGTGAATAAGAATCAATCAGTTTGGATCAATGGTTTAAAAACCGGATCGGGCTTTTCAAAAACCGAACCGGATCGGCGAATCGGCGATCCGAATCGGCGAATCGA